AAAAAAAAAAAAAAAAAAAAAAAAAAAAAAAAAAAGAATCACAAGTGCTCTTAACCACTGAGCCGTCTCTCCTGCCCCCACCTTACTTTTAAAATAGAATATCTTTCTTTATTTTTTGATAATTTCATACATGTTAATAATGCATTCGATCTTATACACCCCAACTTCTCTCTCCTGTTCTCCCAGGAACCTCCATCACATGTCCTTTTCATATCACTCTTTTTTTTTTAAATTAAATAACTGGTTAAATTAGTGCTTCCTTTGGGAATGCTGTCTGACTTTGCTGACTTGTTCTTGTGAGGGTAATTAAAGCCCCAGTGAGCTCATGGTCCACCATTTTCTTCTGACAGGGTTTCTCATTGAACTTGGAGTTCTCTAATTGGCTGAGCTGCCTGAATGATAAATTTCAGTGGATTATATCTGCTTTCACAGCGATGGGCTCACTCACATGCCTATCCTTCTTAAAGTAGGTGTTTTTGTTAGGGTTTCCATTGCCGCAAGGAAACACCATGACCAAAAAGCAAGCTTGTGAGGAAAGTGTTTATTTCTCTTACACTTCAGCATTGCTGACAGAAACTCAGACAGGGCAGGGTCCCTGAGGCAGGAGCCGATCCAGATGCCACGAAAGGGAACTGCTTACTGGCTAGCTTCCCACGGCTTACTCAGTCCACCTTTTTGTAGAACCTAGGACCAGAAACCCAGGGATGGCACCGCTCACCATGGGCTGGACCCTCCCCCATTGATCACTAAATGAAAAAATACCTTATAGCTGGATCTCATGGAGGCATTTCCTCAGCTGAGGTTCCTTCCTCTGTTGACTCTAGCTTGTGTCAAGTTTACACACAAAACCCACCCAGTTCAGTGGGTTATGGTGTCCCCAACGCAGGTTCTCATGCTGGTGAAGCAAGCATTGTAGGCTTGATCTGTGCACGCCCGCACGCCTGCACGGGCAGTTGTAATCGAACTCGAATTTGCTCATTCCAGACAAGTATCTTCCCATGTCACCTGTCTCCATTTCCTTCTTTTTCAGATTTGACTCCTCTGACAACCTCAGTCTGTCTTGACCTTCCCCATCTGGTCCCGCTTGCTCCTCACTGAGCACTACCTACCACTAGGGGGCAGAAGAGGTGCTTCTCTAGCTCTCCTAGCGCTCTCTCTATGGTGCCTGCCGGCTATCCCTCCAGGGGGCGGGACTACCACCACGTGACCCGGGTGCCAGGCGACCGCGCCGGCGCAGTGGCCGTGTCGCCGTCGCCGGGCGCTGTCCCACTGCGCCTCTCGGCCGGGTAGCCGGCTGAGGCTGCGGGGCCCCGCGCTCTGCGGCTCTGGCTCCTTCCGCGGCGGGCCGTGTGCCGCAGCCATGTCCCGAAAGCAGGCGGCGAGGAGCCGGCCGGGCAGCGGCGGCCGCAGAGCCGAGGCGGAGCGCAAGCGGGACGAGCGGGCTGCGCGCCGGGCTCTGGCCAAGGAGCGGCGGAACCGGCCCGAGCCCGGCGGCAGCGGCTGCGAGGAAGAGTTCGTGAGCTTCGCCAACCAGCTGCAGGCCCTGGGGCTGAAACTGCGGGAGGTGCCGGGGGACGGGTGAGGCGGGCCGGGAGTGCGGGAGGTGACGCTTGTGGATGCTCAGGCTCGGTCGCCGTGAGGGAAGCAGGGACCGGGCCTGGTGGAACGCTGCAGCAGGTGCCCGGAGGACCCGGGGCCGGGCTGAGAGGCGACCTCGAGGTGCACCTGTCAAGAAGCCGAAAGGGAGGGCTCTTAGGTCCCGCTCGGTGTCATACCAGACCTCCTGGGCGTCCTCGCTCTCTTCTGCAATGGGGTAACGAGGGCAGAGAGCTGGAGGCATCTTTGCACGCCTTGGGTTCCCTAAGCAAAGGACTTAACCCATTGCTTGAGAATCCCGGGCCAGCTCTTTCTCGGGTAACCCGATAACACTAATGGCAGCTGGAAAGAGGGACCGGAGGAAGGGCTTAATAGAAAGGGTACGTGGTTCCAGGAGCATGGGGAGAGAGAAGGAAAAAGGTAAAGAAACTGGGAGAGAAGGGTTAGCAGGTCCGAGGGAACCTGATTGCCCCGTGTGTTGTTGCAAGAGGCACTATTAGTGTTTTCTTCATGAGTGGTCAGGTTGAGCTGCAGAAAGAGTGGGTGTAGCTAAGGAACATAAGCCAGATGTCGTGGCAGCGGGGTTGCTATGAGGTTGAGGCCAGTTTAGACTGTAAGAGTGAGAGGGTTTTAAAAAAGAAAGAAAACCAAAGAAACTTCGATAACCTTCGAAATTGTGGGAGAAAGAGTACTAAAGAAAGAACTTTCTTCTTTTCTTCCTCTCTCCTATTTTTTTTTTTCTTTTCTTTCTCACTACGTCGTCTTGGCTAGCCTGGAACCCCCTGTGTAGACCAGGTTGCGTATAAAGTTACCACGGCCTGCTGGAATTAGAGATGCGCACCTCCGTCCACCGCGGAAAGTGTTTTCGTCATTTCGTACTGCACTGAAGTACACTGATCAAGACTTAATCACCTCTCCCCTTTTGTCTTTCCTACCTTCAGAGCTTCAGGCGAATCGGATTTTGCTCTGCTCACAAAGAGTTGGGCACACCTTCCTGCTAGGTGTTTCTGCTTAAGTTGCAATTAGAACGTAATTGCATTCAGCCACCACTTAGAGCAGTTCCTGGGTCACAGAAGGCATTTAGGACATTTTTCTCCCCCGAGACATGGTTTCTCCCTGTAACCCTGGCTGTCCTGGAACTCGCTCTGTAGACCAGGCTGGCCTTGAACTCACAGAGACCCACCTGCCTCTGCCTCCTGAGTGCTGGGATTAAAAGGGTGCACCACCACCTGGCACTTTTTTAAATTCTTGAATGAAGGGCTAAAAAGTATCAAGGGAGGCCACCGAGCTCCAGCAGAAGCACAGACCCTGCTGCAGACATCAAAGCAGCAGCTGAAGCCTGGCATGGTGACCATGCAGGCCTTTAATCCCAGTGCTGGGGAGGCAGAGGGAGGGAGATCTCTGAGTTTGAGGCCAGCCTCTTCTATATAAACCTGGTCTCAAAAAAACAAACCAAACAAGAAACTTCAGTGGAATGCAGTGGACTCAGGTGGGGTTGTCCTGCAAATGGTTAGATTGTATTTGGCAGACAGCATGGCTTCTCTATGTCAAAGAAACATGCTGGGGAAATAGATACTTCACAGTTGCACGTGACCAGCAATCAAAGTCCACAGTGAGAGACGCTAGGGCTTCCATCAGGTTCTGGGCAACTTCGGGAGGATTTACTTTTTCCTTCCCCTAAGAGAGCAGACTTCTCCAGTTAATCCTCATGCTTTGCTTGAGTGGAGAGCTAGAAACAGGTAGATGACCGAGATAAAGAAGAAGGGTTCCCAGTAGAGAGATGTGTAACGGTAGGTCACTTACATTTTGGTCTGTTGAGCAACTTTGTATTCTTAAAATTTGCTAAAGAATAAACACGCTGTTTGAGCCACAGCTCAGTATTTACAGAAGTGCACAGACCTACACTCATTAGCTACCCATGCTTTGAAGTAGTACCCCCCCCCCCCATCCCCTGCCTTTCTCTCTCTGAGACAGGGTTTTTCTATGTAGCCCTGGCTGTCCTGAAACTCACTACTAGACCAGGCCAGCCTCGAACTCATAGAGATCCAATTCCTTTGCCTCTCAAGTGCTGGGATTAAAGGTGTGGGCCGCCATGCCCAGCGAGATGGTAGCCTCTTGGAAACACTGTAAATTTATGAGAGATGAGAGTGAAGAAGATAAAGGTCTTTGTCTTGAATTTATGGACATCCTGAAAGAGTCTCAGGATTTAATTTACTTGGGAAGCAGTTGCTATGGGGAAAGTGGTTTTATATATTCTTAGTAACCGATCATAGAGATGCTATCAAGAAGGAAGTGCCTAAAGTGCCTTACTCAGCCAGCAAATAGTGACTTTCCACATTCAAGATGCCTCTCAGAAGAAGCCATGCTTTTATCATTCAAGAAGGAACAGCATGAGTTTGCCAAGAGAGCATTCCCAGATGAGCACCACGTGGAAGTCCTGGAGCGTGCAGTATCTGATAGCCCCGCCAGTTGTGCAGCAGAATGGGGGCGCGGTTTAATGGTAGTAGTGCAGGGGAGTGGGGGGCAGATGCTAGCTTACTTCCCAGTCTGTTCTTTGGCAGCGTTAGGTAGCTTCATGAAACCAGCCTGCCGTAAACAGGTCTTTGCTTGGGTGACATTTGACAACAGACTGACTCTGCTGCTTTTTTATTTTTATTTCTTTTTGGTTTTTCGAGACAGGGTTTCTCTGTGTAGCTTTGGAGCCTGTCCTGAAACTTGCCCTGTAGACCAGGCTGACCTGGAACTCACAGAGATTGGCCTGCTTTTGCCTCCCTCATGCTGGGATTAAGGATGTGTGCCACTACCACCTGGACTGGCTCTGCTGTCGTTCATCTCTGTAGTGAATGGGAAGGTCTTTCCTTTCTTCCTTCCTTCTTTTTCTTTTCTTTTTTCTGTTTCCTGCAAGACAAGGTTTCTCTCTGTATCCCTGGCTGTCCTGGAACTTTTGTGTAGACCAGGCTGGCCTCAGACTCAGAGATCCAACTGCCTCTGTCTCCTAGAATTAAAGGCATATATTACTACCACCACCTGACTCACAGATTTTTTTTATGCATTAATATTTGTTGTTGAGTAGTATTAGGTTAAAATATAGTGACGTTTTGCTAATATAAAAAAGTAGTTCTGCATTTCCACTGCTTCTCTTCTGGCATTGTTACAGTTTGGATGGCCTAAGATGGCGACGTGCTATAGGTGTGTTCCTTCTAGCATTCTGTAATTGGTTGTTTTTCTGAACTCAAATTCAGAACCTTAAATCTGTATATCCCTAAAGCACAGTGGTTCTCAAATAGGGATGGTTTTGCCTCCCAGGGGACAACTGGGGCTATCTGGAGACATTGTTGGTTGTCACAGCTGGTGAGGAGGGAGGTGGTGTGGTCCTGGCATCTGGTAGGCAGAGGCTAAGGATGTTCCCAAGGATGGCAGTGAGCAGGACATTTCTTGCGGCACAGAATGACCCCAGGTGTCTATAGTGGGGGCACTGAGAGGCCCTGCAGCAGTGAGAGCGTGAACTCAGGAAAACAGCGGGGTCTCCCGGAGGCCTTTAGGGTCGTGGTTTTGTTCTCACTGGTTTTGTTCTCACTGGTGTCGGCAGTGTCTGCTGGGCTCCCTAAGGGAACTAGGGTGTTTGTTATGTTTCCTGTGTTGCTGCCTTATAACCTCATCGGCAACGCAAGCCACTGCAGTGTTTTTGACTTGTTAGTGGGCTCGAAGTATGCCAGATAAAAGTGTATTACTAGCACTTTTAAACTAATACTTTAAAACATTAGTTTAAATGTGGTAAACTATGGCTAATATTTTGGTATTAATGTTGGGAGAGTCATGACTAGAGCAGGGTTGCCCAGCTTTGCATCTTGGGCCCAGTATTTACCCACTAACCATCCTGCTAGCCCTGTTACCAGCATTTGAAGTTTAGAAAATAAAGATGCTTAGCAGTGGCATCGCTGTTCCCTGGTGGCAGGGTGAGCTGACAGTGAGGCCTGTCTTTCCCTGGTAACCGTGTGTGCCAGGTGCTCCCTCCTCGGCCTTCACAACCCTGTTCTTAGCTCCCAGACCTGGTGCAGAGCTTAGAGCTTAGTTTGTTTGAGCAGCTTGACAAACTGCTGTCTTTTGAGTACTGAATGAGAGATGGCCTAGCTGGGCACTTTTAGTGAAGTTTGGTTCAGAAGGTATCGGTAGTTGTGACGTCAGTTTGGAAAGGGGTCTGGGAGTTTTAGACCTTAGGCCTGGAGTGGTTTTTGAGGTCTGTACCCTGGTTATCAACTCCACCATTGAGCCAACTGAGGCCCTGAGTAATTTAATATTTGTTTTGAGCCCGCCAGCCGGTAAGCGGGACGGGAATCCTTATTTGCTGTCTCACGTGGGTGATCTGCTGAGATGCGGTGTCTCCTTTCCTCAGGAGTCAGGCGGGAGACGTCCTGCATTAGGTGAGCTAAGTGCAGTTTTGAAAGACCTTGACCAGCATCTCTGTTTTGACAGCAATTGCCTGTTCAGAGCTTTGGGTGATCAATTGGAGGGTCATTCTCGGAACCATCTCAAGCACCGACAGGAGACCGTTGACTACATGATAAGGCAGCGCGAAGATTTTGAGCCCTTCGTGGAAGACGACATTCCTTTTGAGAAGCATGGTAGGTTCACCGAGACTCTGGGTCCTTCAGGAGCCACCAGCACCCCACCCCCACTGCCAGGGTTTGCTAATGTAAATTATGCCATTCATTTACTCAGCAAACTTGTTTGCATATTCTGCGAATTGCCCACGCTCTGCAGGTGGGAATCTATAATTAGCTGCATGTCACCTTGACTAAAAGTACTGGCACTTGGTGGCTTGGGTGTGGCTGGGGTAGAGTGCTTACCTCACAGGACTTGATCCTTACTCAGCACCACCACCACCCCCGAAGAAAAGGGAAAGGGGGTGATGCTAATTGACCAGAGACTTTGTTTGTGACCTCATACCAGTGGGATGGGGAATAAGATCTAAGCATACAGGTACGGAGTCCACTTTTTAAACTCCATGCAGGGAGATGGCGGAGGCCGGGGAAGACGCTAGCAGCCGTGGTGGTTCTTTACGTTTTCATAAAAAGGAGATAATAAGCGCCTCTCTGGCAGGATTTTTTTTTCCTGTGAAGATTAACTTAGATAACAAAATTAAATTCTTAAATTAGTTAGCTGTCTGGGGATGACGGGGCTGTCGATAGCTTTAATTGTCTCCTGAAGTTATTTTATTTTTAAAAACCATGTATTTATAACTAGAAAAAAGAAATCAGCAAGCCCATTAATATCTCACCAAAAACCTAAATGTGCACACCCACCCACCCTTTTTGAAAGGGTGTCTATTAAACTTGAATGTGTTAGGAACTTAGTTTTGGGTGTGCTTGTGGCTTGACCTTTGATCCTCCCATGTGTTACACATGCCACCACACCCAGTTTATGGGGTGCAGGGGGTAAAACTCACCTCCTCTTGCATGGTAAGCAAGTGTTCTCCGTGCTCCTCCTCACCCACAAACAGTAGCTCCAGCACAAGGCTGACATCTGTGTCTTAGCAGGATGAGGCGGCAGGGTCTCTGTTTTGATGACAGTGGGGGCCCCATTGAGAATGGAGGAGAGCAAGCCTAGGAGGGAGGCTGGTGAGGAGGCTCTCTGTGTTGCAGTTCTGAGAGAGATGTGAAGGGCCAGTCCCAGAGCAGTTGGTGGAACAGTTCACTCTGGCGAGGAGACCAGGGCTGTTCTGAAGGTCCTGTTTAAGAATAGCTCTAAGCTGGGTGGTGGTGGCACACTCCTTTAATCCCAGCACTCAGGAGGCAGAGACAGGTGGATCTCTGAGTTCTAGGCCAGCCTTGTCTGTAGAGCTAGTTCCAGGACAGGCTTCAAAGCTTCAGAGAAACCCTGTCTCCAAAAACAAACAAAACAAACAAACAAAAGAATAGCTCTAAGCTTGGAGGACAGAGGGAAGGGCATATCTTGGACACTGTTAAGTGTCTTAACCCCTAACCAGGAATGGGCCCTTTGAGTCTGGGGTGTGTGTTGGGGGTGAGGGGGATAGGCTGTACCTGTTACTGTACTCTGGTGGCCCTCTTCCTGGGGTCACATTTCAAGCAGACAGGCTGTTTAAGAGTTAGCGTTTTATAGATGTGTGTGTGGCGGGGGGGGGGGGGGGGGGGGGGGGGGGGGGGGGGGGGGGGGGGATGGCAGATTTTGGAACTGTGTGTTTAAAATGAGTCATGTTGCTGGATGTGCTGGTGCACTCTTGTTAGAACACTCAGGAGGCTGAGGCAGGAGGATCAGGAGTCTGAAGCCAGCCTGCATAGAAAAAAATTAAAGAATCTTGTCACTTTTCAGTGTTACTTTGGATAAACTTTGTGACCTGAATTCCACTTGAGCATCTTTAGGAAGGGTCCTGTGGTGGATTTGGGGTGTAACAATGTAGGACAGGGAGCTCAAATCCTGTTGCCAGAGTGATGTCACTTTAGCTGTGCAGTGGGAAGGTGTTCTCTCGAAATGTCACTGCACGACTGAGTGCTGATGCATAAAAGTGTGAGCATTGAAGAGGCGACAACGGCTTTGACTGCCAGAGCAGAAATGAAAACCAGCAGGGAGTCTGCACATCCTCAGACCCATTGCCTTCTCAGGAACGAGCTGTTGTGACTTTGTTCCAGTTCCAGCCATACCTGATATTTGGAGGTATTCATAGAGGATTTGCTGGTTTAACAAGGGAATGTCTCACTGGTGAGGACCTAGTGACCCTGGCACTTGGCTTTGTCTTCAGGATTATCTCACCTAGATGTGGCTCTGTAGACTCTGCACTACCTGTGCAAGACCTGGATCCTCATCTCCCTGTCCCCTCTTACCAGTCCATCATCTCTGGGACCTTTTCCTCAGCAGCTGCCTCTTCCTCTTACCACCTGTGTTCGTTAGTTTATTTGTTATCCCCATGGGGATGGATATTTTTTCTGACTTCTGTTTGCTCTTCTTTTTTTTTTTTTTCAATTTTCTTTATTCATATTTTATTCATGGGTGCTCTGCATTTATACCTGCGTGACAGAAGAGGGCATCAGATGCTATTATAGATGGTTATGAGCCACTATGTGGCTGCTGAGAATTGACCTCAGGACTTCCAGAAGAGCAAGCAGCCAGTGCTTGTAACACCTGAGCCGTCTCTCCAGCCCCACTGGTTAGTTTTTACTGTCAACTTGACATAACCCAGAGTCACCTGGAACCTTAGATCAAATTTGCCTGTGGACATGTCTGTTGGGGATTGTCTTGATTGTTATAACTGATGTAGGAGGACCTAGCCCACAGTGGGTGGCACCATGCCTAGACTGGTAGTCCTGAGCTGCATGAGAAAGCCAGCTAAGCATAGGTTTATAAATGAGAGACAGACCAGCAAGCAGCTTTTTTCTGTGCCTGCCTGCAGGTTCGTTGAGTAACAGACTGACCTGGAAGTGTAAGATGGAATCAGGGTTCCCTCCTCCAGGTCACTTTAGTCGTGGTGTTTGTCACAGCGACAGAGTGAAACTAGAACGCCACTTCACAGGTACCCTCGGTGCAGTGTGGTTTGGCTCTATGGCCCTCTTGATATTCAGTCTGTTCTAGATCACAGAGTTGTGAGCCAACTTCATTTTCCTCCAAAATCTCTTGCTAGTCCCCACTATTGTGGGGGCTGAGCCTGCGCTTTATAGCCCTTCATGACCTGTGAATTTTAATTTCTCTCCTCCGGTTTTCTCCCTGTATCTCTGCAGTCCAGGTTCCTGTCTTACAGAAGAGTCCACAGTCTCTCTTGTTGTTTGGAATATCATCCATTGACTTTGGAGCACCGGTTTAGTAGTCTCAGCCTAGTAGCTTATCCCCCCCCCCCCCCCCCCCCCCCCCCCCCCCCCCCCCCCCCCCCCCCCCCCCCCCCCGTGCACGCGTGCGCACACACACCTTTATGTTTCTGACATGAAGCTCGGGTATGAGCATGGCTGTGCAGGGTTTCCCTCGTCTCTGACACTACTACACATTCAGATTTCCCCACACTCACAGGAGCTGCTCTGATGGCAGTGGTTCTGTGGGGGAAGGGAGCAACTAAAGTTAGCCACAGGGAAAACTCAATCCAGCACAGTCCGGTCTCAGAAGGTCCCAAACCCAGTGCTTCCTTGTCTTCCGGAAGTGTTATGCTCTTAGCATTTCTGTGACTCTACACAGAGTACTGTCAGCAGGGAAGCTTGTTCCAGAGTCAGTCCAGATTTGTTTGTTTGGTTTTTTGTTTTTGTTTTTTTGGGTTGTTTGTTTGTTTTTGGTTTGGTTTTGCTGTTTCTTTTGTGGTAGCACGCAGCTGCTGTATAGTCTGTTAGTAGTTATAGACTAGGGTCCATCATGAAAGACAGACTCGCCTTCTCCTTTGGAAAGTCCAAAAGATTGGCAGATACTTTGCAGGAGCCTGGAGTAAAGACCAGATCAGCCCTCTCCTGACGCACCTGGTTGTCACCATTGTCCATATTATTCTGATTATAGTCTTCTTCAGGGCAGAGTGACAGTGGCCATAAGCCAGGGCTGTGAAGTCAGCTGCTGGGATGAAAGCTTAGCCCACCAAGTTCAGGCTCTGTGACCTTGGCCATTATTCGCTGTCTTCACCCCTCCTCCCGCGTTCATCTCTCTAGTGGCGAGTGTGATAATCCTTCCAAGCACTGCTCTGATGATTAAAAGTGACGATTTCTGAGAAATTACCGGCACTGCTTGACACACGCATGTAGCATCCATTAGTGTGAGCTGCTGCCGTGCTTTATTGTGTACACGCTGTGCCTGTCATGCAGCCATGCAGATTGGAAGCACGCAGCATTTCTGAAGGAAGTAATCAGCAGATCCTTCTCTGACGAGCACCTCCGAGTACAGTCTGCATATTGTTTACCTCTGACTCCCTAGACTGCCGGTCAGTGGCCTTTGAGATGTGTGTTCATGCTTCTCGCTGCTTGCAGTACGTAAATACCAACCATGTTTGCATTTGCATTTTCCATCGTAAAGACTTCATTTTTCTTTCCTGTTTCCATGCAGTGGCCAGTTTGGCAAAGCCTGGTACTTTTGCTGGCAATGATGCAATTGTAGCCTTTGCAAGAAACCATCAGTTGAATGTGGTGATCCATCAGCTTAATGCCCCTTTGTGGCAGGTAGGTCACCTATTTAGGAATGTCCTGAAAATGATGGGCTTGACCTGTGATGCTGAACTCCTAAGAATAGCTTGGACCATGAGCTAACCAAAGACAGGAATCTTGTGATTTGGAACTAACCTCCATGCTGGGTCAAACGGAGTCTGGAGTGTGAGAGAGAAGCACTTTGTGATCCTGGGGATATTGCTCAGCCTTCAGCTAGGTGGTGATGTGGGGGCAGAACCTAATGTGGAAATGCTTCACATAATTGTTAAGCTGTCGTAGAATAAAATGTTTAGTACACACAAATTGTAGTTTTGAAGTGTGCCTGTTCCCCTGCTGTTTGTGTGTGTGTTTAGGAGTAGAGAAGTGTCATCAGATCCGTTATAATGACTGTGTCTGCCTGAATGACTACTGAGTTTTCTGACCAGTAGACTGCTGTTTTTATTCAGCTCCGTTTGTGTTTTGATTTTTCCTACAATAAGGATTTTATAACACATTTGCTCCAGGCTGAGACAGTTAAGCCACACAGCCTTCTACTGTCCATTCAGCTCCTTCTGCTTCTCTTTGTCTCCTGCATTAACCTCATCTCTCAGTCCATCAGACCAAGCATCCCAGAGCCCAGGTGATCAGAGGTTGCTGACTCCACTTCCTTATTAACCCTCAGAACTCACAGGGCTTCGTATCAGGCACAGCTTGAGATTCTGAGCACAAGCTTTCTGCCCCTCCTGTTCTCTGTCACCATCTTGAACTTTTTTATTAGAAAGTTAAAATGTTTAATTGAAGAAGAACTGGGAAATTCAGAAAAGCCCCTGCAGGTGGGCGAGAGTCACCAGAGTCACCCCGACTGGAATTAGGACTGTTAGCATTTTTAGTGTGTGTCCTGCCGTTCACCCCACATTGGGCGTATGATTGGGGAGGGTGCACATCACACTGTTTTTACAATACATTTTAACCACACATACATGAATTTTCACTCATATCACACACACACACACACACACACACACTCCTGCATGCGTTAACCTCTCTTAAAGGGAATGACATTTTTTTCGTGTTCTGCCTGCATGCACCCCTTTGTAACTCCCTGAGTAATGGCTTGACTTTTTTAAAAAGAGGGTCCAGTATTTAGAAATATAAGTTGCACATGCCAGAATTTACTGCTTTCTGGTTTATAGTTCCACGTTTTGATGTATGTACATGTTATGCCACCATCTACGTATGGAGTAGCTCCACTCTACCAAGAAGTTAGTGCCTGCCCTGTGTAGTCACCACCCACTATTGCTTTCCCAGCCTCTGGTAGCTTCTGATTCATGTTTCCTTATCGTCTTGCTTTTCTGTCACATAAATGGAAGTCTTCAGCCTTTCGTATCTGCTACAATGTCATTTTAACAGAGTCACACAAGACAGAGTGACGTAGATGCTGCATGCAGGGCTGGTGAGAACATCTGCCTCAGGATGCAGTGAGCAGGAGGGAAACAGCATCCGTGTCCTTGGCCCAGTGTTGCCAGGTGTCAGGATGGCAAGGAGAGGACCCTGTGTTCAGTGGGTGCTCTTAAGAGTGAGCTGCTGGCCAAGAACACAGGCGCCCCTCCAGTTCCAGGTGTTTGTTATTAGTGTTCGCCGCCAGTGACGTTGTCAGGGCAATTGAGTGTATGGTGTGCGGAGCCTGATGGAGAAGGAGAACCCATGTCAGCGAGGTAGCCGTCTGCTGCTTTCCCTGACGATAACTGTTACGTTTCTTCATTGCCCAATTCTTATATTTTTTTCAAATCTACTTCTGTTGCGTTCTGGTTTCTGACTTGTAAAACAATGGAAGTATATACTTAAAACAAATTTGTCCCATTGGCTCTACCCTGCCTGGCAGTACAGTCACTGTTCTGAGCTCTTGCATTAATGATGAGTCGGCTCAGAGTCAGTAACGTGGATACCGAAACCTGCATTGCTCCTGCATTGCTGTGCACGCCTGTGAGCGGTTTCTGTGTATTACATAGCCAGTGATAGGCCTGCTGGATGTGAGTATGTACATGGCTCCTAACAATTTGGTGACTTTTCCAGTTGGTTTTCTTTTCATAATGTTCATATGTTGCTACTAAATCTGTAGATGATTTAGGAAGTTTGTCATGTGAAGACAAAGTGAAAATTTCCTCTGTCAGTGTCCTTTCTGGGAGACAGCGGTGCCGCTGCTGTGTCCCATGTCCATCTAGACTCGCTGTCTCCAGACCTAGACATTCTGCTAGAGAAGTTGTTGCACTTCCTACACAGGATCTGTGTGATTCCTCCTGTCCCATGACTTGCTGGTTTTGTGGGGTTTTTTGTTTGTTTGTCTGTTTTGTTTTGTTTTTCGTATCTCTGTTGCCTGTAGACCAGGTAGGCCCCAAGCTCAGAGATCACCTGCCTCTGCCTCCTGAGTGCTGGGATTAAAGGTGTGTGCCACCACCATCATTTCAGCTGACTTGCTATTTTTGGATCTTGAATATTATTTAAGTTAATGATCATCTCAGATTACTTGGGACTTCTAGTGAAAATAAGGAGGGCTGATGTTTTAGAATTTTAAAGGACAAACAGGCCAGATGGTGGTAGCACACACCTTTAACCCCAACACTTAGGAAGCAGAGGCAGGTGGACCTCTGTGAGTTTGAGGCCAGCCTGGTCTACAGCATTCCAGGACAGCCAGAGCTACATAGTGAAGCACTGTCTCAAAAGCAAAAAAAAAAAAAAAAAAAAAAAAAAAAAAAAAAAAAAAAAAACAAACAAACAAAAAAAAGAAACAACAGTTACCTAGAGGCAGAATCAGAATTATTTTAGTGTCTGTTTTATGGGTGTTTTGGAGGGAATCTACCCAGCCCAGCACTTAAAGTTTTGTATGCTTTTTTTGCATGATTTTAGGGAATCAATTCTTGTTGTATCCCAAAGCATTGCTGGGATGTAACACCCTGTGGCCAGTACCCAGGGTTGCTCAGTGTACGGGGGCGGTGTGGACAGTGCTCAGAGAGTGGTGTGTGCAGGGCAGGGTGGCCATTGCCCAGGGCTGTGTGATGAGCTAGTACAGATTTACTCTGGTGCAAGTGGCAGGTTTTGAGATTGTTGCTGCCTATAAGTTTCATGTGTAATGTTCAAGCCAGGTTTGTAGTGTTTTTTGAGATCTTCAAGAGGATCTAGCTGGGCGGTGCCTCGGGAGGCAGAGGCAGGCGGATCTCTGGGAGTTTGAGGCCAGCCTGGTCTACAAGAGCTAGTTCCAGGACAGGAACCAAAAAGCTACGGAGAAACCCTGTCTCGGAAAATCAAAAAAAAAAAAAAAAAGAGGATCTAGAAACTTTATACTTGACATTTTACTTTTTTTTTTTTTTTTTTTTCCAATAGTAATCCTCAATCTGTTTGAGCTTCGGGCTCAACAAAGCTGGCTCTGCTTCAGAGTCTTCCCATTGGGAGGAGCCTGTGCACTGAGAGGCCAGGCGTTTAGTTTTATCTGATTTCATTGCAGGTCTGCCCCTGGCTGGTTAGTCATTCCATGCAGATTCACTTGCCTCTAGGCAAATGTTACGTAGGCACATGGAAGCCTGCAAGGGAGAGAGCTCAGAGACTGGTGGCATGTCCTAGCCAGAGTCCCCACAGGCTCACACTTCCAGATCCTCTCTTGTGTCTGCAGATTCGTGGTACGGACAAGAGCAATGTGAGGGAGCTGCACATCGCCTACCGCTACGGTGAGCACTATGACAGTGTTCGGAGGATCAATGACAACTCAGAAGCGCCAGCACACCTCCAGACCGATGTGAGTGAAGCCCCGTTCCTTCTGCTTTCAGACCTGCAGGAAGCTGAGCACCAGGGACCAGCTGTTGTTGCAGGTTATTGAGAAGTTGCTGTCAGGGAACTGTGGCTCCGAATGTTAAAATATTTCAGCCGGCAAAAGCACTAACTGCCTAGCCCGACAACTTGGATTTGATTCTAGGAACCCACATGGTGGGAGAAAAGAACCGGCTCTCACAAGATGTCTTCAGACACACACACGAGGTCGTGGCACGCGTACACATACACATAAATGTAAAAAACTAATGTATTTTGTATTTCTTACTTTTTAGTGAAGTGAGAGCCACTTATCCCTTTACCTTCCTCCAGTAGGCATCTATAGTTAGATGTATACACAATCCGAATTTTTTAAATTAATTTTATGTTTAAAAGTCTGTTCTGAAATTTGGCAACTACGCAAGCCAGACTCAGCTGTCACTGCCCAGTACTGCCGTCCAAATACCGTGGTTGCCTCGCTGCTGCTCTTCCTGGGTAGTTCCTCTCTTCTCTGTATGCAGGGCTGTCCCGGATTCTCATGTGGGTGAATCTAGCCACTACTATTCTCGTCCGCTTGTTTTTCAAATTCTTCCTGTGTTTGGGTGGTTTGTGATTCGGGCTGTGTTAGAGAGCTGAGGGGAATTTCCTAGAGCCCATGGTTCCTATGCTGTGTTTTAGTTTCAGATGCTTCATCAAGATGAAGCAAATAAAAAAGGAAAGATCAAGACAAAAGGGGTGGACTTTGAAGATGGCCCGAAAGATGAAGTCGAAGATGCTGTCCAGAAAGTTGGCAACGCAACTGGATGCTCAGTTAGTATCCTTACACACACACACACACACACACACACACACACACACACACCCCGCCTCACAGCTGGATGCTCAGTCAGTATCCTCCCCCCTCCCCCAGCTACACCTCACAGCTGGATGCTCAGTCAGTATCTTCCCCCAGCCATGCTGCATAGCAGGTGCTGCCATGCTAGAGCTGACCTGCCAGAGGCCCAAGAGTATGGAGAGCTGCTAATTCATTTCCCTTGTTTGCTGGATTTCACCCATCAATGCTCAGAATCCCAAGGGGTGTGTTTAATCTTTCCTGAGTTTAGCTTTATAAAGAGAATCTATTTATAAATTCATTGGAATGGCTACTGCATTTGATGGCTTTGTTTGAAATTTATGTTTCTTGATGGACGTGGTCTTGGAGCCTTGTCAGTTCCTAGTCTGTTCGTGTTTGTGTGTATCAGGCTGCTGAAGCAGAGCTCGCGAGTGTGACACGTCTATCTGCTTCTTCAATAGGATTTTAACTTAATAGTCCAGAACCTGGAAGCCGAAAATTACAATATTGAATCTGCAATAATGGCCATACTTCAGATGACCCAGGGGAAAGGAAACAGTAAGTCCACAGTTAAGACTTGTAAATAAGCTTCAGGTGTCATGCGGTGGCTCCCTCGAGCAGGTGTCCACAGTCTCCATGATTGCTTTAGTGTCCACACTATCCCTCTGTCCCCTTCGAGCACTGCGAAGGCTGCGAGCATCAGCACTGCCTGGTGTTTGTGCAGCACAGTGTGGTGGGTACGCATGTGCGGGGTGGGGTTGGGCCTGGATTTTAAGTGAATTAATAAGTTTAAATCTTAGCAGCCATGTGTGGTTCTGGCCTAGTATTGGACAGTATAGGGTTAGGTCATGTTTTGTTTCTAGATTTGGGATATAAATGAATGCTTTATCCCTAAAAGTTCTCTTTAAAAGTCATCTAAGAAACAGATGCTGCTGGCAGAAGGGACTGTGAACCTTGGAGCCAGCTAGAGGCTTCAAATGCTTCCTGCAGCCTCCTGACCATCTCGAGGAACCTGGCTTTATAAATGTCAGGGATCTGGGAACCCTGGTGATCTTGCAGTAATGTAACTGCAATTGCTTTGTGTAATTGTTGGGTTCTTGGTTTTAACAAAATGCCTTTCTTTGGAAGATACAGAGGAGAACCTTGAGGCTAGTGACCGAGTGTCAAAACAGTGTGACCCTTCATTCGAGGAGGCAGGCAGCAACTCCAAACTCACCGGAAATCAGGGTGGAAGTGAAGGCCAAACGGAAAATAGTAAGGCTCGGACCAGACCTAGTGAAGGAAACAAAGCAAATAAAAGCCAGATCCCAAAGGTATGGCGCGGTCGGGAGGCAGGGGCACCGTGGGATTCTATAGCCGGTTGGGAAGCTGATTTTCACCCTGGCGTGCGTTCTTCTAGATGTGTAAAAGTAGCTCTTGTAGAGCTTCTGGGGGCGGGGTCCATAGAAGCATAAGATCTAGAATGAAGACTTTGCTTGTCCCACAATCACAACAGTCGATAGCCCTCTGTACAGATGCATCGTTGTGACTGTCAGGGCTGCGGGTGTCTTTGTGCTTTGCGTTGTTTTCTTGCACAGTGTCCCAGGTGGCACGAGGGCATGTCTCTCAGGATCCGCTCAGGCTCTTGCTAGCCTGTCGGATATACCCCTCCATCCTTGCCCCGACTCTCACAGGTGGACAGCATCATTAGTTTGCCCAGTTTGAAACTCATCTTAAAGGCAGATGTTTTGAGCTAGACTGCCACCTAATGTGCAGAAAATGATGCCACAGTCTGGGAACTTTATTGCCATTATCTAGAGTCTTAAATGATGGAGAAGCATCTCCAGGCCCCTGGATTGTCGTCAGAGGCTGGACTTGGGGCACTGTCTTCATGGGTATTTGGATTGTTTTATGAAGAGGATTGCTTTTACTTGATGCTTCAGGAAGGAAACATACATTTTAAAGTATATTTTAACAGTAATGAAAAAGAAATTATTTTGGTTTCTCAGGCTGGTTTTCTCTGTTCTTGCTAAAAGCATTCTGGGCCTTGTGCTCGCCAGCCCATAGTCTCACAGCACCAGTGACCCACATGGCTCTTCCAGGTTACAAACAAGCAGCGGAGGGAGCAACAGCGACTGGAGAAGAAGAAACGACAGGAGGAGAGGCACCGCCACAAAGCCCTGGAGAGCAGGAACAGCCACAGGGACGCTAACAGAAGCGAAGCGGATGTGAACACGCAGGTTACCTTGGTGAAGACCTTTGCTGCTATGAACATCTGATGCTCGGCCCCCTGCGAGCTGGAGGTTGAGCGCTGCAGACTAGGTGTCCCGGCCAGGTGTCCTCTGACAGTGCCCACACGAGCCCACGGAAGTCAGTGCCCTTCGCGCTGCCTCGTCTGTCTTGAGCTTTGTCATTGTTTGTTGTGTGACAGTACGGTGGAGCCATCCACTTTCTGAAACACAAAGGAAGTTGGACTCATAGGTGGGTTATGGGGCAGAGGAGTCTTTGGAGCGAGGCTTTATTTGCCCCGTGTATCAGAACGTGGTAATCCTAGGCTCTTCCGTGACGTGTGGAGTGGGTTTGCTGTCATTATCTTCAAGTCGTTTAGCACAATCATTAGAAACCCCCACAGTGACAACTTTGTCTCTCTTTCATTTCCAAGCAGGGATGCAGGTCTGGCACCAGCTCAGGAGTGTGCCGAGATGTGATTGACTTCTCAACTGGTTGCTTGTACATGTCAGGGCAGTCAGGGACATTGGCTACATTTCCCTTCTTCCCGTCTCTGGTGTCACCTCAGTGTGGCTGCCCTCCCCACTCCAGCCATGTGGCGTGTGTGCCTGGCTATGGGAGAGCCTGGGTTTGCTGGGAGCTCCACAGCGCAGTGGAGTTTGGGATGTTTCTCTGGACAGTTAGGAGATGGGGGGGTATTGCTGTGACAGCTCTGAGCTCTGATGTGCAGGGCTGAGCAAGCAGCTGCACAGGGCAGGCCTGGGGGAGGCTTTTCCTTAGAAGACTCTAAAGATTTCTTCTATGGGAGAAGTCGACAGGATAAAGTTTTCCATGTTTGAATGTTATTGTTTCTTTTTGATATTCTAGACTCAGGAAGATGCCTATAGGGAAATAACTGGTTGTTTGATCTTACAGGTTACTAAATTTTCTTAACATGTGAAAATGAAATGAAATCCCATGGCATAGCTGGGCATGGTGGCTCAAGCTTGGAATCCAGTACTCAAGCAAGGCAAGAGTGCTGCAAAGTTGGGGCCAGCCTGGGCTGTGTAGTGAGTTCCAGGCTAGCCAGGGTTAGAATAAAAGGCCCCGTTTCACTGCCTACCCAATAGAGAAAACTCTACCAGCGTGTGTCCTGTACTTTGTTATTTGGGATTTCAGTAGTGGGAAGAGTGCAGCCTGGCTAAGGCTGGGCGAGCTGGCAGGGGAGAGGACCTGTGCTGCGGAGGCCTTCAAACGACTCAGTTCTGAAGTACCTTCAGTAGGGAAGGTGCTGTTCCTCAGGCTGGGTTATAGGAATGTTTACTGTAAACTGTCCTGTGTGGTATGGACAGTCATGACTAAAGCCTTCGCCTTCTGGGAACCTACTATTCAGACTAACACTGTATGCTGGGTCAGAAGATAACATTTTTGTTATCACTAGAAGCAAAAGGAAAATTACAAAAGGTTTAGACACAGACACCACTGTCTGGGCAGGTTGTGGGTTCATCCAGTTGTCTTATCAGCAGGCTGTTTACTTCTTCAGTTTAATGTTGTCCTTTAATTTTCCTTTTGTTTGGCTTTGGAACTTTGTGTTTTGTTTGGAACTCTCAAAGTGTCCTGGAATCTCTCCCAGGATGCTGCGTTACTTCCTTACCTACAGGACATTGCAAGACTGCAGATTTGAAAACTATATGGCATTTTTTTTCCTTCTCAGCTGGGAGACTCAGGTCTCAGGCCCAAAAGGGAAGGTGGTGGCTGCCGGGCTCTGAGGGATAGGAGTGGAGCTGGCTCTGGGAGCCAGTGTGGGGCCACCCGGGACAGGATGTGGGTTGGCCGAATTCATCTAAATGGAAGCTCTCTGTTCCCTGCTTTTCTTTGTACTGCCTGAGTGCAGCATGCCAGCTCTTTGCAGACAGGTTAGGGTTGTTTACCAAAACCCCAGGGTTGGAAGTCAGAAGTGGCAGGGCTAGGGGAGCCTGGTGCACTTGTATGGGACACCCTGGGCTCCATCCCCAACACTTAAAATTCAGGCTGTGACTAGCTCTCAGCAGCCTCTTGGCCACGCAAGGAGCTGCTGTTTGCCTGGCTGAGGACAGCATAGACCTCTCTGGTGGCAGAGCTGCTCTGGAGGTTTACAGACTCATGTTTGCTTCTGGAAGGCGGTGGCTGTGTGTCCTGGATTGCAGTGGCAGTCTCCTCAAAGAAGGTTCCTTTGTCTCTGTCCACACTTTCCAGTTTCAGATGGTGTGTCTCTTCAGTGTGCCGATTATTGGAAGTGGGGAGCCTGCACCTAGCTTCAGGGTGCTGCCAGCTCAGAATCTCAGCCTCACTGAGTGAGAGCCGTTGGGTCGTCTGTGGGTGTCACCACTGTAGTGGGCACCTGCTGGTTACCTCCTTGGCACCAAAGTGAGGCCCAGAATGTCGAGCTTTGGGGTAACAACGGTTAACACTGTTCCTCCAGTCCAGGTCCTCACAGGGAAGCTGGCATGGGAAGGGAGCCTGTCAGCCTCCAGCTGGGCCTCAGCTGCTACCTGAGAATGTTGTTGTAGCTCATTGTGAGCACACGGGAAAGCCACAGTGCTTCATGGAGGCTCACTGGCTTTATAAACTCTGTGGATTTTAAGGACGGCAGCACTTTGCACTGCAGGCGAATGAATTAAAACAGCGCTGCCCAGACTTGTAGAGTAGAGCCCACCGGAGATAATGCTGAGAATAAGTGTGTGCATTTGGGTCTTCACAAGAACATCTACCTCCGGGGACTGTGGCAGGAAGAAGAGTCTTAAACATCCACCTGGGTTGCCTATATTTTCTTGTGTGAGCTCTGAAAACACTTCTGACCTCGTTTTGATTGTGAAAGTGAAGTGGACTGACCTTGCAGGGCAGCTGGAGTGGGGCTCAGCGGGGAACCTCTCTGTAGCTCACGCATAATACCCTGCTTCCCTGGGGAGCAACAGTGGCTCGGGTTACCTGGTAGTGTCAGGTGGACTTTGCCAGTGGACTGCGCTCAGAGTCCTTTACTGTCTGCCTGGGTTTTACCAGGACAACACAGAGTGTCCATATTTTACCTCGGAAATGTTCAGCTCAGACACCCAGCTGGGTAGAGGAAACCCGAATCCCCAGAGAGTGGCTCAGTCACCCCAGCAGAATGAAGCAGAAAGAGAGGGAGCCTCCTGAGAATTGTGGCCTCGATGGAGCCCCTCCTGAGCTCCATGTCGGCATGCAGCTTCTCACCTCTGACTTCTAGGCCCAGGCCGTGCAGGGCTTCAGTCTTGTCCTTTCCTTTACCTGCTGTGTGCTTCCTTTCGCTAAAGGCTGGTGTGGCTAACACCCAGCTTTGTCCCGAGCAGGCCAAGAGACGCTTTTCCAGGAAGGAGCACATCCCTATCCTCGCAGGCCTGCCGTTTCCAGGGTCAATGTTGAGTTGAAAATAGAGCAGCACATTTAGGTTCTAAAAGTTGACTGCTGAGTGGGACCATACACACCCTGCCTCTGTCCTGAGTGGGAGGGAGCGCAGGGTGTGAGGCTGGGCAGAGAGCTGCATCCTGTGAGCGCCTGGCCTCTGTCCCAGGAAAGACCTGACGGTGTCTTCAGGCCTTTCTTTTTAGAGCGTCACTCTGTTCTGTAGCTCAGTTGAAATGTGGCTCTCCTGACGGTCACTGGAGATGGCTGGTGGCTGTGTAGAGGATACACTTGCATGGTGACTTTATGTCAGCAGGGCAGACCTGTGGTCCAGGATTCCTGTGCACTGTCCTGAGCACAGGGGGAAACCTTTGGGGGTCTGGCTCAGATCCTTGCCCATGAGCACCCTGCAGGCCCCTGCTTCCATTACCACGGCACTCAGTGACGTTCATCAGCCTTCTGCCTGTGGTTTGAGCCCCACCAGCCCTCTGTTGAAACCTGAGCCCTGCTGGTGTGGGGCTCCAAGTCTTCCTGTTCTTGGGGTTCATTTTCCATGGTGGCTACCTTCCCAGCATCCCTCACGAAGCTTGGAGGAGAAAGGTAGACAAGAGCCTTGAGCCAGTCTCAACACCATCCTGCGTGCTGGTGTCTGTCTGTCCCCCTAGAAAAGGGGGCCAGTGTATCTGCCTTCTCCTTTTTCCAATTGCACTGTTCTTGTTCTAACTTCAGGTTCCAGAGACCTAAAATCTTCTTGGGGTCATGACCCATAGACTCAGCAAGTCTGCTTTAGCTATGTGTAGAGGTGAGAGATAGCTGTTTTCTGTGTCTGGAGCCCGTTTCCCCTAGGCTGTCTCTTTACAGTTTGTGTTCATCCGAATCATTTTATCTTTTTATTTACCAAAGTACTGTACTTGGCTATTTGCAGTGTTTTGAGAACCAAATGTTTTGTGTTTTTGATCTTCAACACTTGGTGCAATAGAAGCCGCAAAGATGTGCCACTTTATCTTTGAAATGAATTTTGTATACCAATAAATTCTAGTTTAAAAGCAAAGTCCAGGTTGGTTTGTTTTTGTTTACTTGCTGTCTGAGAGTATTCTAGGCACCCACTCTACCACGAGCTACATCCTTGGCTCAGATTGTTCTCTCCAGTATCCGACCACCACTTAAGTGAATGAAAGGTCTGAGAAAGCATGCTGGGAAATGGCCTTTTCTGAGGCCTTTGTGTGGGAGGTGCTTAGACTAAGACTCCTAGTGTGGTAGTCATTAGGGACCTGGCAGAAGTAGCGTGGGTGCAGGTGAGTATGGCTGTCTCATGGCCCGGCAGACCATTGATTAAGACCTCCCTGGACCTCAACATGTCTGACATGTCAGGTGCCACCTTGAGAATTACCTCCACAGGACAGCGCCAGCATGGCTTCCTCTTGTACTGCCTCTCAGGGCACTGAAACAGTACACTTGGCTTGTTCAACAGAATTCATAAACTGCCCTGTTCTGATCCTGTTTTGCCTGGGCTGCTTGGGAAAATATGTGCTCCTAGACCACAACTGATGCAGATTGAGAGCTTTTGGCTGAAGAGGATGGAGACTGGTCCAGCTGCTTCACGGATTCTGGCTCTGCAGATGGAAACACTCTGCACCTTATCTGAAGCTGCTCTGATCAGTCTGTGGTAGAGCGATTTGAGTATTCTGTTTGTTTTCAGTTCTGTCTTAGGGTTTCTATTACTGTGAAGAGACCACGATAACTCTTATAAAGGAAAACGTTTAATTGGTGTGACCCGCTTACAATTTCAGAGGTTCAGCCCATTATCATCATGGCGGGGAGCATGGCAGCTGGGAGTACAGTGGCTTGCAGGCAGATATGGTGCTGGCTACATCTTCATCAGAAAGCAACAGGAAGTGGTCTGTTTCAGTGGGCATGGCTCAAGCGTATGTGAGACCTCAAAGCCTGCTTCCACAGTGACACACTTCCTCCAACAAAGCCTCACCTCCTAATAGTGCCACTCCCTCTGAGCCTATGGGAGCCAATTACATTCAATCTACAAGTTTATTCACCCATCCAAACATCTGAGAATACATCCTACTGACTCCCTGGGTCTTAGAAAACAACCGGGGCCTTAGTCATCAGAGAAATGCAAATCAAAACAACTCTGAGATTCCATCTTATACCTGTCAGAATGGCCAAGATCAAAAACACTGATGACAACTTATGCTGGAGAGGTGGGGTTAGGGAACACTCCTGCATTGCTGGTGGGAGTGTAAGCTGGTACAGCCCCTTTGGATATCAGTGTGGCGATTTCTCAGAAAATTAGGAAATAACCTTCCTCAAGACCCAGCAATACCACTTTGGGTATATATATCCAAAGGATGCTCAATCGTGCCACAAGGACAGGTGCTCAACTATGTTCATAGCAGCTTTGTTTGTCATAGCCAGAACCTGGAAACAACCTAAATGCCTCTCGACTGAAGAATGAATAAGGAAAACGTGGTACATTTACACAATGGAGTACTACACAGCAGAAAAAAAAATGACATCTTGAAATTTGCAGGCAAATGGATGGAGCTAGAAAACATCATTTTGAGTGAGGTAACCCAGACCCAGAAAGACAGTTATCACATGTGCTCACTCATAAGTGGTTTTTAAACATAAAGCAAAGAAAACCAGCCCACAAATCACAATCCCAGAGAACCTAAACAACAATGAGGACCATAAGAGAGACATATATAGATCTAATCTACATGGCAAGTAGAAAAAGACAAGATCTCCTGAGTAAATTGGGAGCATGGGGACCTTGGGAGAGGGTTGAAGGGGAGGGGAGAGGCAGGGAGGGGAACAAAGAAAAAAATGTAGAGCTCAACAAAAAATAAAATAAAAAAAAGAACAAAAAAGAAAACAACCGGGGACCCTGTTTGCCAAAGGCTTCCCATATAGGGATGAAAGCAGACACCATAACAATGACCCAGGAGAACATACGGAGGAGGTGCAACTTAGTGTGCTTGCCTTGCAAGCATGAAGCCCTAGGTTCCATCCCCAGCACCACACAAGGGATAGAGGGTGCTTGTAGAGTAATCCCAGCACTTGGGAGGTGGAGGAGAATCAGGAATTCAAGGTCAATCTGGGCTATAGTAGGCCCTGTCTCAAAAACAAAACACCAGAGGATCCCAAACACACAAAACCGAACCGGGACCTAAAGAAGATCTGAGCAGATGGCTCAGGGATTGAGAAGAACCAAGAGAAGCTTGTGCAGGAGAGGGGAGGTAGATACGAAACAGTCGGAAGGCACCTGTAGCCAAGGACCAGTGCAAATCCAGCCCTGAGTGGAACAGCCCTGCTTCTAGCACAGGGCTCACCTAGAATCCACAGCAAGTTTGGAGGAAGACTGGAAGCATTGAGTCAGACACGTCCTGGAAGAGCAATGCTCTGCTTCCCAGGTGAGGTCTAGAGAGGAAGCATGCTTACTTAGTCCAGCTGGGCTGTGTAGTGGGCGTGTGCTCTTGGCTCTCCTGCACTTTGTCCTGGGGGTGGGGTGGCAGGTAGCAGCCCTGCAGGAAACTTCCGCAGCATCTCTAGCGCCTTTACCTGTTAGCCTTGGAGACATCAGCTCAAAGGCAGTGAAGGCTAATGGCTCTCAAATATGCATCCCTGTGCTCTTGCATATTCGAGAGCTGTGGGAGCCAAGCAGCTGGTCAAGTGAGTCGGTGTAGTATTTACCAACCGTGTACGGTGCCCCTTTCCACACACATCGTTCCCGCTGAAGCAGGTATTTCGAAACTGCCTTTGCTAAGAGGCACTGACTCCAAGCCCAGCAGCCCTGCTTTCACAAGGTGTCTCTTTCTTTACTCTGGCCCAGACTCTGGCTTAACTGCATGGGCCTGTCAGTTTCTATGGAGTGTTTGTCTGCCCAAACCCGTTTCATCTCTCTTCAATACTGAAAGCACAAAACCCATTGTCTAAACCTGCAGTCACCTTGGGTTTCAGGAGGAGCGAATCATGCAGGACACAGCACTCACAGGATGATGTCCCTGTAGAGGCTGCAGCCTGGAGTCCATCATCCTGAAGAGACTACACTGGACCTTTGGTGACTGCAGGAATTAGCGGATTAGCATTCAGGACCAGGACTGAGGCTGTGATGGGCAGGCCCACACCTTAACCTAGGACTGCTTACACAGATCTCTTGCCTCCTGCCCCAGTGATTCCTGTTTAAATCTCAGCACCCCCAAGATCAGCGTGGGCTCATTGAACCTCCTCCACTTTATTTGTTCCTCTTCCCAGCCTGTTGTTTAATCTCCTCTCTGCACCTTGGCATTCTGTTGTTTGTTTGTTTTTTGTTTATTTTTTTTTTTTTTTTGAGACAGGTTCCCTTGTAACCCTGACTAGCTTAAAACTCACAGTGTAACTGAGGATGACCGTAAACTCTTGACCCTTCTGCCTCCATCTTCTGAGTGATAGAAATACAGTCTTGCCCTGGAAAGTGGTGGCATGCACCTTTAATCCCAGCACTTGGGAGGCAGAGGTAGGCGGATCTCTGTGAGTTCAACGCCAGCTTGGTCTTACAGAGTTAGTTTAAGGACAGCCAGGGAAACCCTGTTTTGAAAAAGCAGAAATAAAACAGAAAAGAAATGTAGTCTTGCTCTACCATATCCAATTTATGCAATCCAGGGCTTGAACCCAGGACTTCCTATATGCTAGGTAAGCACTCTACCAACACAGCTACATTGCTTTTAGAGCTTTTCAAATTCTCCATCTCTTTAACTAGGGTACTGGAGATCCACCTGCCTATGCCTCCAGGTGCTGGGATTGAAGGCATGGGCCACAACCACCCGGCTCCCAGGCACTCATTTAAACCCGAGAACTGCTCCGGAGGCTGGTGGATCTACTCCATCCTAATTAGGCGCTTCATTGATGCAAGGCTTCTATTGTCACATCTAATCGTTTATTCAGCAACCTGTTTAGTGGACACTTGGTGCATTGCTTTTGTTAGGAGCAATAGCACAGAAAGGAACAGAGTGGTCCACGATCAAAGATGGAAGCAGAGACAGGATATAGACCCAAGGTTACCTCCCACGAAAGGACCCAGATCACTGGGGTGAGTGGCACTAGGAAAGATCCAGACACAAGCTGGGTGGTTTGACAGAGGTTGGCATCCACTCCAGTTCCGAAAGGTGAGGCTTGGGATACATCTGAAATATGAGCTTCTGTGTTGAGGAAGCTGCGGCACAAAGGACAGACAGCAAGCAGCCCGTGGGCATGCCCTGGGAACCCTGTGAATGTGGAGAGGTGTCCCAGCCTTGGCTGGGTGATTCTGAGAGGGGCCAGACCCACAAACGCTCTGCAGAAATGAGGTTTGTTGCAACAGAAGGCCACCAGGACATGACTGGCCTTGAGGTGCTAAGGTATTAAAGAGGAACAAGGCATTCAAGTCAACTTAGCCTTAAAGCATTAGGGAGGCTTTCCCGTCAACCCAGAGAGAGCTTTGTAACAACAGGCTTAAAGGGAGAAGAGGGAGAGCGCCACCTTTGTGGCTGGAGATCCTGTTGGTGTGGGTGCTGTCAGAGAAATCCACACACAAAGAACATGTGTGACTTTACCAATTTTTCAGGGGCTGGCAGGAAGCTTTCTGTGACACGTGTTAGTCTGGGATAGCCTGCATGATTCACGGGGATTAGCCTGCATGACCTTAGAATGGAGGCACAAGGTGCAGGTAGGACCATAAACTATGCCGTCAAAACTACAGCATAGATTGGCTTCTTAACTGTCACAGGGAGACCCGTGGTGGAGTGAGGCCTGATTGATTTCTTCAGACTGTGAGATCTGGCCTCCTAGAGCGACAGCTGCCTTCAAAGGACAAGCCTGTGATCTAACACTACCAAGCCTTCAATGCCAGGGGCTCGTGGACCATAGAGAAGTGCTGAGGATTTGTGGGGAACCAAGAAGTGACACAGTAGAAATCGAAGAGGGTATCAGCAGGTAGGATGAAGACGGTGGAGAATGGGGGTGTCTGTCTGCCACTTGACCATAGCTAGCTTCTCTCTACAGCATCCTGGGCAGAAAGAATATGCTTTAATGAAGTATCGGGCCTTCTGGCCCCAAATGCAAAGGGCTACAAAGCAGCAGCTGAATGTCATGATGTTATAATTAGTTTCTTTAATTAACTCAGGAATTACATTTGTGACTTATAATCACTTATTCAGCAGGTTATTTAATGGGGCAGTTTGTGTTAGGGGCCATGGTAGGAATAAAAGCAAAATCAATCCAGATGCTCGCATCAAAATTGGAGAGAAAAGCTATGAAATATCCACACACACCCCCACACACACCCAAGGCCGCCATGTAGCTCCTTGTTTCATTTTCCCATGTATCCATCCATCCCTTCATCTGTCCTGGAGCTTTCTATCCATTGGTGATAGACCCATCCATCTATCCACCCTCCACCCTGCTCCTACCCAGGTACACATCTGTGCACACACTGTTACGGGAATCTGAACAAAGCGAAGAGACACGGAAACTTCCTCAGGCAAAAAGACTTTAATCACATTAGTGGTGTCAGTTGAAGAAAAAAAAAACCTGAGGGACTGATAAACATAAAACGAGGCCTGACCTTAATGTGGGATTCCAAAGAAACCCAGATGTGGAGGGAGGGAGGCTGATCAGGGATGTAGCTAAGTGTCTTAACTAGGGTTTCTATTGCTGTGAAGAGACACCATGACCACAGCAACTCTTACAAAGGAAAACGTTTAATTGTGGTGGCTCGCTTATAGTTCAGAGGTTTAGTCCATTATCATCATGGGACATGGTGGCATGCAGGCAGACATGCTGCTGGAGAGGAAGCTGAGAGTTCTGTATCTTGCAGTCAACAGTCACTGAGTGTAGCTTGAGTAAAGAAGACCTCAGAGCCAACACTTTCTCCAGCAAGACTGCTACTCCAGCCAGGCCACACCCTTTACTAGTGCCTCTCCCTTTGAGAGCCATTCCACTCACTGGCACCTAAACACTTTTTAACAATATCATGATTCAAAGTACATTCAGTCCAATTTCAAAAGTCAAAGTCGATTACAGTCTCAACAATGTCTAAAATCCAAAGTTCAAAATCCCTTCTGACACTCAAGGCAATCTCTTAACTGTAATCCCCTGTAAAATCAAAATCAAAAAGCAGATCACTATACTTTCAACATACAATGGCACAGTGTTGAATGAGGCTGCTAGTGTGTCCCAGCTGCCAAGACTCCCAAAATAACCACACAGAAACTATATTAATTAAATCACCACTTGGCCAATTGCTTAAGTGTATTGCTAGCTAGCTCTTACACCTAGAATTAACCCATTTCCATTATTTTATATTTTACCACGAGGCTCGTGGCCTACTGGCAAGGTTCCAGCGTGTCTGTCTCCGATGGCGGCTCCATGGCTTCCCCCCTGGCTCTGCCTTCCTTCTCCGAGCATTCAGTTTAGTTTTCCCTACCTAGCTCTGTTCTACCCTATCAGGCCAAGCCAGTTTTCTTTATTCATTAATGGTAATCACAGCATACAGAGGGAAATTGTAACATGAGGGCCTGCTTGTTGGGGTTTCTGTCCTGCCCAGTTCCCACAGTCGTGAGGTCCCGAAGAATCACACAGAAGCCTATATTAATTATAAACTGATTGGCCCATTAGCTCAGGCTTCTTCTGGCCTTCTCACCCGAATCACGCACTGCAACCTCCATGGCTGGACTTTCCCGTTTCATCAGGTCCGTCGCCATCCTATGACGGTGATGAGGCCGCCTTCAGTGGTCTCTCGGCATATTTCCTGTCGAAAGTGTCACTAGCCCAGAGTGCACTTTGCCCACCTGATCAAGGTTAGGAAACCCCGGGCATGTAAACCAGAGCCGATATTCTTCCTAACCATCTAAAAAGATGGACACCAGAGGGCGCCGTGGGACCACATTTTCTGCCAAAAAAGGGGTCAGGCTGGCGTCCCTCACAAGCCGGTTTTGATTTAAGGCCTTGTTGCCCAGTGGGTTTGAATCAGCTACAGCGGACGCACCCAACCACCCACCTCTTTCTTTCCAAGCGATGAGATGCTTCACCTTTCAGAGTTCCTGATGACGCATCCGTTTGATTTCATGCTCATAGAGATCTTGTTGTACTATGAAAAGGACAAAGGGCGTGGATATGTATCGAGTGTCCTCTGAGAGACTTGCCCCGTGCAATGGTTACACTGCTCTGTGCCATGGGGCAGGCTCTTCCCGAACCTTCGCTGGCTGCCCGCTGATTGCAGATGGTGGAGGTATTACAGCTGGGGTTGCCAGTGAAATCTGCCTGAGCATCTTGCGTCTGCAGGAGCTGCAGGCCTCTTCGTCTGGGAATCCTTTAGTGGGCCCAGCAGCGTGAACTCCATTCTCTTCGCAGGCGCCTGAGCCAGCTGTGTGTGCACACAGCTGAGCTGCCTGCCCTTCTGGGCCCGGCATCTGTTAGGTTGGATTAACACAGCCACACCAGAATATGGCAATGAAGTAGCTGGTGCCAACTCCTTGAAGCAGGGAAGGACCCTGGAGTGAGGGCAACCCTTGGGCAGGGTGTGCCCTCTCTGACCCTCAGATACCCATCTATCAAAAAAGGGATCAGACTTGAGATGTGGCTCAGTTGATAGAGCGTTTGCTTAGTACGCATGAAGCCCAGGGTTTTATTCCCAGTACTGTGAAAAACCAGCTATGGTAGTTCACGTATGGAATCCTGGCAGTTAGGAGGTGGAGGCAGGAGGATCAGGGGTTTATGGTTAGTTGGTTACATGAGCCTTTGCCTCAAAAAAAAATTTTTTTTAGGTGAGGGTTGGACAAGATGGATCTAGGACTACTTTCACATCTAAATCAGTCCGTGCTGGTGGGGGCGTTTTGAGGACTGGTGACATGGGGACAGTATTCTTAGGCTGGGATTTTTTTATGCTTCTCATAGTAAGTCATTTGGCCAGAGATGTTCCTTGCAGAGGAACATGACATGTCTTGGATAAGATGGTTGAAAAAAAAGATGCAAAGCCCAGGTGAGGTGACACACACCTTTCACCCCAACCCTCAGCCCTCAGGAGGCAGAGGCAGGTGGGTCTCTGTGATTGCAGGGTCAGACCGATTCACATAGTGAGTTTCAGGCTGTGGACTGAGAAGTGAGGAAGCATGGGAACTTACTGTTGTAGAAAACAAAGGATTTACTGCTGGCTCTGTAGGCAGGAGCCACTGCGTCACATCTGTCCCCACCATATGGTATTGTCCTGGCCAAGGATAGGTGCTCAACATATGACTGGATGGATGGATGGATGGATGGATGGATGGATGGAT